AATTATAATTTGAACAAAAATTGCAATTTTGTTATTTTTATAAATTGTCGATACGTCAATCTGTTTTTGTATGCATTTTGTTGAATAGTAGTGTCTTCTCAATGGGTTCTCGGTGTGTTTAGTACTAGTCTCAGTGCCTTGTTCTGTATAGTCTGTAGTCTTCGTAGGTTTGTCTTTTTTGTTCTGTAATCAAGATGAAAAATAGTGAACGTATCTTTCGTTATTGATTGTTGAACAGCATTAGATGCATCATCGAGTAAAATATCCCATTCAGCATCATATATAAGCTGTTAAGTATTTTAGTATTATTTGACTTTCAGTAAATATACTGTGAATGCCAAAAAACATACATTACAGCACATAACACATTTTAAACAACCTAGTATCAAAATATGATCAGATAATTTCGCATTTGTTACTTAAATGAAACTGTATCATTAGTTGAAAATATGGAGCGTCCATTAATAACGTGATTTATTAATGGACTCCCCCTACCCCTTGGTGATAGATCGTGATATTTAAAATCACCGCCCTCTACCACCAAACGTAACATGTATTTTCTTTCAGTTAAGTAAAATTTTTCGAATTGACGAAAAAATCTTTTTTTTGAAAATTTAGGTGAAAAATAAATACGCGCGATATCTCTTGTAACCTTTAGGTAAAAAATAAATATACGCTCTGCACCCTTGGATGAAAACAAATGTTCTGAAGTGTCAAAGTAAAACAGTGTAGGCTTACTATTCAAATGTTATTACAACCTGTTAAAAAAATAAAACATTCCATCGAAGCAAAATAACTCTATTCAACGGCAAGTTTCTAAAGTTCATCCACTCGATTGATCATTAAATGTAAACTGCATAACGGCGTATTCTATGGATCCGTCGAGAGGATCTTAGATTAACAGGAAATTGTTTAAGTCGTCCGAATGACAAAAGGCTAGCGCTACGGAAAAGAAACAATGAGTAAATTATTCAGTGAATGCGAACCGAGGGAAGATTTTCATTTGAGATAATGCCATCACGACGGACGGAGCGATTCCAGCGGAATTGCTGGATGTTGCGAAACAAAAGCGAATCTTTTTTAGTTGTACTCGTATATAATTTTATCACTTACGCTCCAGTTGAGATGATAAATGTAATTGATTTAGATAAAATTGAAAAAAAGTATTGTTCATATTCCGTGATTAAAAATAGCAATTTTTTAAATCCATTCTGAACTACGTGTACAGTTTCAATGCTATTACCATTGAATTGAACTTGTTGCACTTTTTATGTTATAATTTTTCACTTATTGAAGTACTTAAATTACCATCTTTCGAGTCTATATCAATTTAGTTATGTACATAAGCAGTACTATAGATAAGGTGATGCTTGGTTACACATCTTTTGCCTTTTACTTTAAAATAGTATTTAAAAATTTCATACTCTGCTTTGAGATGATAATGGTAAACTTTCCCACCTTTATGTCCTGCGTTCTACCCTACATTCTTTGTCATTTTTTAGTTATTTTCTTATTTTAGTTTTCCAAACAATTATAAAAATTAAATATTAATTAAACGTATACAATCACGCAGTTCTTCTTGTTCATAACTCCTATTTAAAATTTTAAATTTCTTATTTAACCAGTATTTTCCTTACAACAAAAGTTTTTAATTTCTACAAATCTGTCTTATTATACAAATATGTTTTATCAAATTATTCTTCTAACACAATTTCGTTACTATAAGTCCGGTTCGCGCCAAGCAGCGCCGGCTTTAATTTATTTAATTCGAAGATGTAATCACATTACATGACTATAGGCGGTGTCTTTTTCAATCCGGGAAAACGCTTCTTTGTTGTAGCGTCGCCCCACGCCGCCTGTGCCGCCCCCCGAACAATGCGCGGAGCCCCCACGACGACGGGCGCTTGTGAAACAAACACTCTTTTAAATTAATAGTTACGAATAACAAGCGCGTTGAAATGTGGATACAAAATCCCCTGGTACGCAAGGCGTAACTTAATTATTAACATCCGTCTCGGCTCATTTTCATTTATAAATCACTCGTGAAATTTGTGGCCGATGAGGAAGTCGTAAATATAATCCATGGTGATTCTTCAAATTATTGCTGAGACATATGTTTATAATATTTTTTGAAATATTGTACGACATAATGCCAATTCACCATATTAGCAATTCATTTATTCAATTTTTTCTATAAAACAGTAAATAGTGCTAGGCATTGTTCCTTAAGGCAAATTGCTGGTACTTTCGATACCGAAACTAAACATTCAGATGATAAAAATAATCAATAATTAACAATAATTGATCAATGATTAGCAGCGATGTTTTTAATATTTTCAAATAGATTATTATAAAAGGGCTTAATTGTTTTTGATTTAACACATATCAAACAAACAACTATCTGACAATATTCAATAAAACTAATTCATCATTGTAGAAATGTGTTTTTTATTGCTGTTTTTCAAAAAAATTGACATCTTGTCCTTTTTGGAGTAAAATGGGCCACACAAGAGGCAAACAGGTCCAATAACTTATTTTCAATTCTAACGGGATTTTACGAATTAATATCTAAATTATTGCTTCCATAAAAATAAAATATTATAGGCACATTTTTACAAAGGTTACACTGAATATAACCTGGATTTAGTATTTCGTCGGAAATAATCATCAGCTGACTTAGAATAACTATTAGTTTAATTCAGCTTTTCTATAATTGCTGTGCTGAACTTAACTCACTTTTTTATTCACTATATTCTCATTGTTTACATTTTTGGCAGGGTTTAGTTGGTGCTCTTTACCTTATCCACATTTAAGCTATTATAGAGGTTATGTAAAAAAATGATTGAATTTAACTTGAAAATAAAACTAATTGTGCATAGCATTATGCTATAATTTAATCTTTTGAAAATCTTCAATTTTTTTTGAAAATTTTGTTTTTTTTTTTTTTGAAGCAATTGCACTGCGTAGCCATTTTAGAGACGAAATATCAAAGCGCGTACCACAGTTTAACGATTAAACATTACAAACTTTGGTACGGAACCCATAGAAATGTAAAAAAAATGTACTGAGCAACATATCTCCTTATCAACAACAATCGAATGTTTTTTTAATCATTCAAATTGGACGCTCAGTTCTCTCAAAATCATACTCAGGTATTATAGTCTAAATAAAACAGCACAAATCCAAAAAACTACCAATAAAACAAAATATGTTCCCTATGAATAATGATACATGGCCATTTATCTTCTGATAATGTCGTCATGAGAATTAAGATGAGGGCTGGTCTTACATATTTTGCCTTATACTTAAAAATAGTATCGTTAAACACTTCTATACTTTACCTTGGTGACGTGGAGGACCTGCGGAAATGTAAGCTCCGATATAATTTGAATTCATAATTAATTCTCTATGTCATTTACTATCTATGCTATAATTTCTGAGTAATACAAAATATTTATTACTTCATCAAAACCGCTTTATTTCTCTCCCAGGCTTCGTGTCGCGGTCTGAGTCGAGTAAGTCGTCCGCGGCGGCGGCATGGCTTTTAGGCTTCGTCGCGTGGAACTTTTAACGGGGTGGTTTATGAGCGAATGCGGGGTGCACATGGGTGGCTTTAAAATGTGTCCTCCACATATATTTTTGCCTCACACCGATCGAGTTTTTCGCACACGACGCGATTGTCACGAGGATTTATGTGTCTATTGTCGACAAAACGCCGGCGTGTTGATTTTTTATTGGGTTGTAAAAGCTACGACAAGTTTAGAATGATCCGTATGCAAAGTAGAAACGGATAGAGACGTCTTGTTGGAAATGAAGGATGATAGAAAATTGAGTTAAGGATAAAAAATGTTTTTATATTAATAGAGCTTTGAAGTCGATAAAAAATCATTTGCCAAGAAGACCACAATTTTTTTATATTCTATAGAATAATTCAGAATAAAAAAAACGTTTAATTTTGTTAACTTGTTTTAAAAACTATTGCTGAATTAACATATAATTAGTTTTTAAATAATCTTAAAATTGTTTTTATAGTTGCAAAGCTATTTTTGACAAAATTAGAAAGTCAGCGTCATGTTGGCATCCACCTGTAGTAATTTTTATAACAAATTATTAAAAATAATTCAATCAATATAATAATCCATTACAATTGGAATGCATTACCATTACATACATATATATTTTACTTTATAAGAAATGTTTCCATGATATGATATTTTTCAAACTCTGGCACAATAAGCCGAAACTATTCTATCAGTCGTGAATGTGTGTTTTCTCGCCACACATCGCATTAATCTCGATCCATCAGCTAAATCAACAATAGTCGGCTTTCTTTTGATTTCCTTTCAGTTTCCTTCAGAGTATTTTAGAGAAATTTATAAAGGAAATAGGACCCTATCGTTCACATGTGATCAGTTCCCCCACTGAGAGAAAGTTTTTCATGATTTATAGAATGATTTAACTAGCTTAACGTAACTAATATTTATTAATAATAATAAGTAGATACAAATAAAGTCATCAATGTTAATAGCTATATTATTCCAAGCTATATTATAGGCAATATTGCCAATCAAATTTATAGATACAAAATACTATTGAAAATTATATTATTTGAAATTTCGACCAAGAAAAAATTAGTTTAGCATTCATAAATTTAGTGCATATTGGATATATAAAATTGACATTTACTATTTTTAAATTGAATGCAAAAGTAACTACTCCACACATCCGTATTATAAACAAAATCAGTTATTATTACCCAAAAAGCAAGCAATAATTTACAACCTGTAAGTATCCCCAACAATATATTATATCTATTACATCCTCGTGGTCTGACTATAAATGCAATATCATTCATATCTGTTTCAAAATCTGTTTACGGAGCAATTCTGCAACACGGAACACACAGAGCGCGTTAGGGGAATCACATCAAATAAATTTTAATCAAAAACTCCCATTCAACATTTAAACTGTGCAAGCCAGAGGCTTCTGTGAAATTAAACATGATGCTTCATCGGTCTACCGTCTCCTCGGTATTCAATGAAGTCTTCGCTTTGTTCAACCCTGCCGATAAGATCAGAGTAAACAGAGACGAGGTTATATTAAATACAGGACCAGTACTGAATATTCATGACTTTGGAAACTGGCTGGATAATGCACTGGTGCAATCCATGGATTTGGTCGAGTATTTAGAGAATATTTCGATAGGCCATTATTGAGGAGAATACTTGGAATTGATTATTGGCATTTGATAAATAATCAAATAAAAATTGTCCAGATACAAAAAAAACATTAAGTTTCTGTTGATGTGTAGTTTTTGGCAAAGGCAAGTCCTACCGTTTGCAATACAGATTTTGAGAGAACGAAGCAACAGATTAGAATGATTCATTTTACGCGTATCGATGAAAGGGAGGTTCAACGGTTTTGGAGATAAAAGTAAATTATATAAAGATATATATGTATATATATAATATATAAATATATATATATATATATATATATATATTATATATGTGTGTGTATAATATCGAATTGTCGCAAAAAGTCTTGAAGGTATTAGAACAATAATTTTATTAACCCAGAATGCTGATAGTTTCAGCATTACTTGCAAGTATATTATTCATATATTTTATGCTCGTTTTAAAAAATTGTTTATTCCGCTGACCAACTAGATTTGTTAAATACATATTTTCGATTGATTATTTGTGGTTACTTTCAACGAAAGGTATTAAACTTTTATTATTTTCCCCTGATACTCTCTCGTGTTCATTATATTATATTATATTTTCATATAATAACCCTTTGTAGATTTAAATCTCGGACATGCAGTGTTTCAGTTATGTCTATTAGCAAAAGCGAATAGGGTTTAGATTATTATCTGTTTATTCATAGCAAACAAACTCTTCATAAAGCCCTAAGAAGGGTCTAAGGGATGGAAAAAATGATTTGTATAAACAGGAACTCAAATTTAATATCTTCCATGAGCTATTAATAATTTGGTTAAAATAAATTCCCTAATCAAACTAGTTAGATAATCAAAATAGATAATTAAATATTCGTAAAATACGTTAAATTCGTTAAAAGAAGTGCATAAAACTAAAAGTGTATGTATTCATTTCTATATCATTGCAATATTAACTCATTTGCGTTATATAGACTTTATACGAACTTATTCATATTTTCCAATATCAGTTAAATTTAATTATATAAATATTATTTAATATTTAACTAATCTATTATTAAATATTTAATTAATCTATTATGCTTCACGTGAATTAAAATTTAATATTTTTTTTTAACATAAATAATAATATGAAATATTATGTGAATCTGAGTTATTATTAGCATAATAACATTTTCAAAAACAAGTTTAAGAAATTAATTATATTGGCTCATTTTTTATTTAATTTAAATAATAGTATTGAATATCATGTAGTCCTGAACTATTCTACTATAATCACTTTCAAAATATTTTTAACTTATTTTTAAATTTCTCACTTTTTATTTATTTACTAATAAATTTATTTATGTTTGAACATACAATTTTTAACCATAAAGTGAGGGAATATCTATATAAATTAAAGAACCAGTTAGGAAAATATTGTATTTTCTATATTTCTAAAACTTTTTGATGTAGAATGTAAACACTTACAGCTCAAAGTATTTACAATTTTAATTTTTATTGATTTACAACTGACCTAAATTAGAAAAATTGATTTCAATGATTGAAAAGTAAGAAATATTACTTTTAAATTATAAAACAGAGCATATAAATAAATCTTAGTGAAGATTAAAAAAAAGAGTTAATTTAAGATAATAAAAATCCAACAACGTATGAACTATTTTGAGATAAATTTAATGTTCACAGTGTATTATGAAGAAACAATTTATACACTCACTCTTTTTCGAAGAACAAAATATTTAATCCTTGCAACAATTAAGAAAATTTTGAAATATATAACTGAAATATATTTTGAAATTATTTTGCTGATCAAAGTTATAGTTTGGCTTCATAAAAACTAGTACTTTCGCATAATTATATCTCTATGTCACGTTATTTACAATAATTTCAAATTATATTACCTTGATACAATATCAATTCACCTTGAGCGCACGCGTAGACGTACCCCTACCTTGAATTAATGTCTGAGGCCCAACCCTCATTGACAGCTACGCATCGTAGCTCTACGTCAGTATCTTACAAGAGGGCAGCACAATGGCACAATGCCCTGTGTACTTATCAAGAAATTGATTTTTATTGTGAATGAAACTAATAATAAGTAAAAGTTAAAAAATATTGGAAATAATTATTAAAAAAATGTAGAGAAAACTTCGAAGTTCAAGTTCAAGTTCAAAATGTAGTTTTGATAAATAATAGTTTATTGATCAAAGTTGTCGTATGACTTAAAGTGTTGAAAAATAACAGTACATGAAGTTAAAGATAAAATGCTAAATATATAGCAAGTGCAAAATGAGGTCGAACTCTAAAGTTATCAATTTTATGAAAATGAAGCTCTTCAAGTAAGTTTTTTTTGTAATTATTCTAGTTTATAATAAGCTTCGTTTAGTTGACGAAGTGTCGTCAAAATTATTCAATTATAATAAAAATGTAGTATTATGCAATTGCCTTTGTAACCTCTCCATCCCTTATGTGATAAGATGTAATTAAATGATTACCTGTTGACTGTATTGTTTAAAACCATGCAGCACGCAACATAAACTAATTCAAAATTTGTTTATATATAAAATAGAATCATTATAAATTATTCTTCATCATTTTGTACATCCAGTCTTGGTGTTTTATTAAATTTCATTTGAACAAAATTAGTCAAAAACTTGATATTTTTCAATTATTTTTTACTTATTTGATATGCTTATATTTACAATAATTTGTTTAATTTTGTCTATAAATAATAAAAGATAACATAAAAATTTTAGGTTATTTTCTTTTTCCATACTGTGGATAGCAACAGGTGAAAATGCGCCGGTAAAACATGTCTGACGGAGCTTTCATTTAGTTCTTACTACTATACTATAGAATAAATCAATGAAACTTAATTTATTACACGAAAAGTACATTAAACTGCTCAATTTCAATGAAACTGAGAATTTATCAACACATTCTGTCATAATAAATTGTAGATATTGTCATTTGTAGAAAAGAACCACTTTTTAATCGGGATAGATTAAATTAATGCATGAAAATATATTTCTAATAATAGTATTCATGTACTCAGATTTTACAATTGAAGGAAGCAGTAATATTTTTTTAGAAATAATAATGTTGGAATGATATTTTACTCACTAGCATCTGTGCAAATTATTCAATATTTCAATATATGCCATATATTGCTCATAGTTGCTTTTTTGCCATTTTTACTTCAGATTTTTCTTACTTTGAATTTAACAAATATAGATATTTAAGTACAACTTTCAAATAAACTGATATTTATTGAACTGTCTGAATTAATTGTATCGATTATATTTAATCTTTTAATCTTGAATACTATATAGCAGTAATAATTTCTAAGAGTTTTACATTATTCTTACACATAATTAATCATGTTATATATCATTATTTAGGATCAAATTTTAAGTGAATTGACATTTTCACAGTTCTTATCTCACCTGTATAGCAATGATTCAATTTCCTTTCAGATTACTATATTGTTTTAGTTTATCGCCCCCATTTTATTTTCTTTGGCAAACTCTGAAAAGATTTATCAGAATTCGAATAGCCGTTTGGGAGTAGTTGTGTGACAACACACGTACCAAAGATTTATATATATATATATATATATATATATATATATATGTGTGTGTGTGTGTGTGTGCATGTATGCATGTATTTATGTATGTATGTATACATATTTCTCGGCCGCCTCACATTAATGCATTGGTGTTCGTATAAAAATCAAATGGGCTAGCGTAAGGCTATTTTCATGTTGTAAAATAAAAAATAAAACTCTAGTACATATAAATCGCATGGTAATAAATAAAAACGATCTAAAAAGCTAATATCACTCTTTTTTACCCCTAAAGTAAAGTCTGCACTTTTGGTATTGGGGTGTGCGAAGAGAATCCCGAATTCGTCTGCGAAAATAAGATTAAAAAATTTGTAATGTTAGCACGTTTCTGGGATTCTTTTTTTAGCATTCAAAAATGCGTGGGATTTCATGTAATTTGAAAATAATAGAGTTAAAAGTATTGCCTATATTTAAATAATTTAACTCTAATTGTTTAAATAAAAATTTAGAAATTCAAAATCCTATTAAAATATAATTCTATTTATTTGACTAACATAAGACATACTCTTGAACATTATTATAAAATTGCCATTCAATTTTGTTGATGAATTTAATTCTTGAATTTTATTAAAAATAATTGTAATTGGCATTTACATATTGAACAAATATTTAATGTCGATGTCTATATTCTTTAAGGTTATTATTAATAATTATTCATTATTAATAATATAAGTAGTACTTAGTTTATTGATATTTATGTAGTTTTAGTTATATTTCTATACAGCACTTTCACATATTATACATGCACACATCCGCATATATACTCGTACATGAATTTTAAACAATGCTTATACAAATAATTTTTTTATTTACACTTTTAGTGTTGATATAAGCAAATGAATGTTAGTTTTAAAAATAAAAAATAAATTGGACTAATGGATTTGTATGATCGATGAAATACCAGCGTACTTATTTCTATCTGTGGTATATGAATAGATAGAATTAGCTACGTTGATGTGTCATTGATAATTGCAAGCAAAGGTAAAATATGTATAGAAGCAGATTCTGTATTAATATATAAGTGTTTGTGTGTATATATTTGATGTGGTGTATTTAATAAGGTCAGTAATCATAAGGTCTACCATGTTTTAGTATTTTAATTTATACTATTTTATTGTACCATTCTTTTTATTTCATTAGTTATTTAATCTGCCTAGATATACAATAGGGTAGGGGGGTGCCAAAAAGTCCAATATAACCACGAACACACAAATTATGTCACAACAATTAACACGTATGAAGCAAACAACTATCTGACTATGTTCAGTAAAACTCCCATCATTTCAGAATTGTTTTTTTTTTTTTTGCTGTTTTTCAAAAATGTCTTCTGGTCCTTTTTACCCTATAGGCGATTAAAATGGAATGAACAAGGGTGCAAGCAGGTCCAGAGTCTTTGTTTTAATTTTACGAAATAATAGTTACATTAATTAACCAATGCAAAATATAAATTTTATTGGTACATTTTATGCTGAGACCACAACTTATATAACTTTGATCTAGTATTTTGTCAGAAATAATCATCTATCAGTGAACTTTTATAGGGGTTATATTAAAAATGGTTGAACCTAACTTGAAAGTAACAGTTTATAAAAGAATTATTTATAGTATACTTAAAAATTATATTAAGGTCTCGTAAATTAAACAACAGTGCTCACGACCAAAAAAACTAACAACGAAAAAAAGCTTTAGTTACAGATTTTCAACGTTGCCATTTATTTCCTGATACCAACATCATAAAAATCAAGCTAATGGCTGGTTATACATCTTTTGCCCTCTACTTTCAAATATTGTTGTTATAAACCTCCTAACTTCAATTGTTTTTGAGATATCAGTGGTGGATCTTTTGAATTTTGAACCACTCTGTTATATGAATCCAAAAATCAATATGAATTATGATAAAATTTCTCCGATGATTAATTTTTATTACCCGACTTGAGTAAAACGCATCATGCGTGGCTTCAATCTTTCACTCTACTCTGTCCATAAGTTAAGAGGGTGATTTCTAGATGGACATAAAAACTGCATTTGTGAGATTAGGGGATGATGTCTTACCAGATGATGACTGATGATGCTCGGACATTTGAAATAGTGTTTACTTAAGATAAAGCTTAGATGAAGTGCTATTAGTATTAATTCCACTTTTCGGTTTGGTACAAAATAAGCCTTTGTCCTTCCTAAAGTTCAGTCTAAATTTGTTCATAAACTGTATACGTATATTCACTGTTGGTAAAAAATTCATCATGAATTAATTTAAAAACTGAATAAATTTATTTCTATAATGAAATAATAATTTACCATTGTCGTATCTACAAAACCAAAATCGATTCAATGCAATTTCATTACATCTCAATAAACCTGCTGATCTGCATATTTTCTCGTAGACAAATAGAGAAACGCAATTTAGACGACAAAAAAGCCCCGATACTCGAAATCTTCGTATCGTATTTAATCTGAACCCAAATTCGTTTGGCTGATTGATATTTACAACCCTAAACTGGATCCCGGGGGCGTCGCGCGATGCAAACGTGTAAATTTCAAAGCGATCCATGATAAAGCTGTGAATAAAATAAATATCTATTTACAGAGTCCGGGATTTAATAGCACATTGACGTAGGAAGAATATTCTAAATTTGTCGGTAAAGGACATGTAAAAAACGTAGTTAAAGTATAGTGAAAATAATAAAGGATAATCCATTATTGCTGTTACATGATGAAAGCACACTCTTGTTTTTATAATAAATCAGCTATACCCAATAACAAATTGCTGTTTTATACCTATAAATAAAAATCAATCAAAAATGCGATTCTGTTACACCTAGTTATTAAAATTAAATAGAATGCATCATCGAGTAAAATATCCCACTCAGCATCTTGATGTATAATATGAACTTATTAGCATATCAGTATTTTGACTTTCAGTGAATATTTGCATCTTATTTTTGTAAATTTTGCATTTATTCCATTCGATTGATAATGTTCACAAGATGAATGCATCATCGAGTGAAATATCCCACTTAGCATCTCAATATATAATATGAGCTTATAAGTACATCATAATATTTTTGACTTTCAGCAAATATTCTGAAGTCAGTATTTGCATTTCCTTTATGTACATTTTGCATTTATTTTAAGCATATATACTGATAAACTAAAAAAAAAAAAAAATTTACTGTGTTTTCATAATACTTTCCAATATATCGATAACTGATTTGAATAGTGTTCTAAACGACCTAAAATATGAGTTAATATTTGCATTTTGTTTATAAAATCCTATGGAATAGGTGAAAGTGAAATTTGAATTTTACAGCATTTTTCAAAATATATCATATATATAGATATCAATTTTCAGTATTTTTTATTACTTTGCAATTATTTAGCTATTTTATATCTTTGGAAATTTTAAATTTCTTCTGTAAATTATTCATTTGTGTTTCTGATAGTTCTATTGTCGATCATCTTAGTAATCAAATAAGTAATTATTACTACATAAATAATGAAAATCACTTCTCTCTATGAGTTTATTTGCGGTCTATTAAGAGCAAATAATATCAAGTAGAGATTAGCAATGGCTTTATTTACAGTAGCAAAGAAATAAATATTGTCAGAGCGCGGCATCACTGTTTCGCGCAGATACGAAGATTTCAATCTTGTATTTGCTCCGGCAAGGTGATTTAACATCGGGCGGTGCAAATCCGGGATAATCCGGAACCCTCGTTTTAGGACACGTTGCAATGATTGTCGGCTTTATTTCTTGGAAAGATTCCAAAACTCTAATGTTTTTGGAGGACAACTCTGAGAAGCTTAGGACTATTAAATAATTTATATGGTTATCATCTAATATTGAACTTATAGCAAATGTTTTTGTATATATTGTATTCAAGACAGCACATATTTTATTTAAATGGATTGCATCATCAAGTGAAATATCCCACTTAGCATCTCCCAGCATATGATATATATCTCATAAGAATATCAAAAATTTTTTACTCTCAGTAAATACACTGAAGTGAGTATTAGCATTTTATTTATGTAAATTTTGCATATATTTTAAGCATATATACCGATATAATTCTGCACTGGATGAGAACTCTAATACCAGAAAAGGATAAGAATAAGATATATAGGTTAGGGTGGGGCACAAAGGTTCAATTTGGTTTTCAGTGATTTACTGTATAAACTAAGTGAACTACAAGACGACCCATAACATGTTTCAATCAAGTCTGAAACTATGAAAAGTAAAATTTCTAGTTGACTTCAAATGATAGAGATATTTTTTCACTATTTTTCTAAAAATCTTCATATGTTTTTTTTTGCCCCATGTGAGTCGTAAGAAGTTCATTCTTGCCCAGTCCGAGTCGTCGTCTCATCCAGAAGGCAAACGTCTTTTCAGATCAAACTTTTATTTAATTTTGAAGAGATTTCAAGAAACAATAGCTGCATTATTGAACCAATGTAAAATACGAATTTTATAAAAACATTTTTTACAAAGATATCATTCATATTGTGAAAAAAATGCTCATCGGCAGAGGTTGAATAACTATTAACTTAGTTCATCTCTTGTAAAGTTGTTTTTTCAACTTTCTCTAGTTTTTTTTTAGTATTTCTTATTGTTTATACTTGTACCAATGTAAAGGTTTAATTGGTCGTTCTAACTCCACCAACATGTAAGCTTTCAAGAACAATGTCGAATCTAACTTAATAATGACTCTACATCTTACAAAACACTCATGTTCAGGCATCATAAACCAACTACAACAGCTCAAAACTAAAAAAAAACTACCAAGAAAAAGGCTTCTAGTATGAATATTGATACTTTCCCATATACTCCCTGATAGCGATTACTTAGGAATTAAAGTGTTTACTGGTAACACACATTTGGCCTTCCACTTTAAAATAGCCTCATTAAATATTTCTATACTTTTCTCGTTTTTTAGATAATGCTGGTGGACCTTCTTACCCGCAGACTTTTATGCCTCTATACTTAAATTTTCTTCAATCTATGATGACTCAATATCTTGCCAATGATTCACAGATCAAGCTTGGCTCTATTACCAAGCTAGCTTTCCGCCTCAGCCATCCCATCATTGTTCGTCTTTTTCCCATTGACCTTCCTAGAAAAGCATCTCCGGCGATGACTCTCATATCTATTATAACGTGAGTTATTTATCGACGTATAAATAACTCTACGGTGTGTCCTCATGTTTTATACATGAGATTGTTGAGGTGGAGATGAAATGGCCGCTATCGTATAGTTGGATTCTTATTGGGGTTGTCGCCTTATTGTTAACGCTTGCCCGGCGACTCGGGACGTGAGGATTTGATTCTCCGCGGTCGCCTCTAGTTGGTGACATAGGAGAATGTCTGTTATAGTGATGTATCACTGGCAACACTAACAGGGGCAATAAAAAATAATAATAGTGCTGCTCTTGGGGTAGAAGTTTGGTGGGTAGTCATTTTGGAGGAAGAATCACAATTGGATGTTGCCCGAAATAGAGCATCGTGGGGTAGCTATTTTGCATAGAAAAATGCAGTAGCTTCGTGTACGATGTAAGAATTGTGCAATTGCATAGGATTATTCCAATTAAAAAGTGATTGCATAATGGCTCCATTAACCTACTCACACAAAATAAAAAATCGGTATTTCTTACGCATATACTTCAACCCTTTCCACTCGGATGCCGACGGCACGGTGTGAAAATAAATATCAATCTCGCAATTCGCGTGTGGAAAGGTTTAAGGATGATTAATTTATAAGACAATGTAATTTCTCCTCATGTAGAATTTCTCTAAATATAAATTTACTACAACCAAAAATATAATTCACATTGCCATATACGTCATTTCTGCTTATAATAGAACTCGGTCTCTAGTGAAGGTTTTGCTCTCAATGTCGTTTACAGAGTTCATGAACATCTTATAAACCCAGTACCGTACCGAAATCATGATTTAGGAACAGATGAACCTTAACATATTTGTTTAAACAAAGCTTTTACTTAATGAAAGCACAAGGACAAAAATAAGCATAGTGGAAAAAATAGTATTTGAAGTAAATTATTATTTGGTAAAGAAAAAAATCATTTTTGTCAATTGATATCGCTAAACGTTACTAAACATATATTCTTCTCAGTAGATTTTGATTCACGATTCAGAATTAACAATTTGTCAATTGCTCAAAATAATTGGAGTCAATTGCTCCCAATGATTGCTCCATATTATCTATTATATTGTTGAAAATAATAGAGATATTCATTTTCTCAATAAATAAAATCATAGCAGTTTTGAACTGATCACATATTCAGGAAAATTTATGGCAGTCGCCTAAGTTACTGTCAAACACTGGTAAATAAAATTATTGATTTTTATTCATGTTTATTCATAATTTTAGATAAGAATATCAAATACTAAACGATCTGTCCCTGACATGTCTTAGAATCATCCCGATGGTGTCTGCAGCACGCACCACTTGAATTCCATTCATACTGATGTTTCACACCCTTACATGACTACCCTCGTTTCTTGCCCTTGAAACAGACTTCCACTCTTAACTCATCACATACTAAATTAATTTTCTCACCAAATCATTATATGATACTAATTATAATTATTTAAAATCGATTTTTTGAATCATTTCTCCAAACTAGTTAATAAATTAATTTATATTTTTAAAATATTTTTTCTTCAAATTTAACATATTATTGTACCTATTTTTCTTCTTAGCCAGACCCAGCCCATGATATTGGAGTGGATACTATTATGATTTCTAAACTTCAGCCGATTTATTTATTTTGTAATTTTTGATTGCTGTTAAAGAAAGTATAATATTTTTTTTAAAGGCATGCTCAAATGTTTTTATTGTGACATCTACTACATTGTAACTTTAAGAGAGTGTCATGCAATTTCCTGTTCGATATCATCAATCATTTTTATGCATAACTTTGCAAGGAAACATGTTCATTCACTCTATTACAGTATGAATATTTCCCACAAATATATATATATATATATATATATATATATATATATATATATATATATATAAAAGTGTGTGTATGTATATCTCCAAAATTTATAATTTATTACTAATATATCTGTAAAATAGTTGATGCATGTTTATGACCATGAAGTGATTCGTACTCTGTTGAAAAGCGAAGAAAATATTATTTGCAAGATTTTTCTGAGTAATACATTCTATTTGATTTATATGACTCCAGGGAAGTTGTTAAGGAAGAGAGAAATATATTTTTATTGTTAAGAATAAAGTATCATATAATTCAAGTAAATTTGTCAAAATTTCAATAGACATGTTGCATTTAATGATTTGAAAACTGTATTACAAGTATTTTCAAAACCGCATTAGAAAACGTATTAGTATTCTTATAATATTAACACATTTTTATGGACCGATTCTGTCTAAAGGCTATGTTATGAAGAACTTTCCATACTAAATCGTTCTAAATATTGGCAAAAGCCATGTGATTGCTATGCAGTGAGGCGGTTTCCCAGGCTTGAGAACCTGCTCAGGTTGAAACCTAAGCGTGAAACCGCACAAATGCCAAAACTGGGCCAGACAAGCAACATGGTCTTTCTGACCCAGCTTCATAACATACAAGAGACGTTGCAGTTTATGTGTAAAACGTATGAATGACATTTTGGCCAATGCATGACATTTTGACAGTATTCAGTATAATTCGGTAGCACAATGCATGCAAATTGGAGCGTAACATGGCCTTGCCATAACATTGGCCTGTTGTGCGGCAGAATCGATCTATTAATATATTCATATGCATACGTGAAAATTGAAAGCAATGAACAAGGTGACATTGAATAAAAAATATATTATTTCTTATATGTAATTTATACTTTTTTATTGATAAAATATAAAATCATTTAATTTATCAAGCCAAGCTTAAAATTATTGAATCTAGAGACTTGGAAGATTTACACTACACCATTTTTTTTTCTATTCCTGTACTAAAAGCAGTGATTTAATTTTAATGTACACAAAAACATGCTTCCATATCAAAATACACATTTTGGTGCATTATATTTAAAAGGGGGTTGTACTTTTGTAATATTCGTCAAACCGTCACGACATGGTTATTAATGAACAAGTCATTTATATCGGCCGGCGATCACCCCGTCGCAAGCGGCTGAACGGCGTTACGTTCACAGTTCGCCCACTGATGCACACTTTGATGCCCCGATGAAATACATACATCAATAAAACATGACATTATGTAAAAATCGTACTGAAGTCATGATTTTGGATAGTAATGAATGTTGGGTTGAAGGTTACATAAAATGGTTCATATGAAAACTGAAAATCTTTACGATACAGTTTCCTAACCAAAAGGGTTGCACTCACACTAAAATCATTATTTTCTAATTTAGAATTGAAATTAAATTTTTCCAAATTGGGTAAATTTTATATCTTTCAAAAACTGGGTATCGCATATGATAAATAAAATACAGATAAAAAGAGCTATATTGATTTTGCATTGATCATGAAATACCATCACAACATACTTATTAACTACCCGAAGGAGAAGTTTATGTTTTTATCAAAAAATCCGATTCGCTAATTTTATGTTTTCTCGACGTTTCAAGCCATTCTAAATCAAATGAGACAAAATTTGGAAAAAGTATGTGTGTGTGTGCGTGTGCACGCACAAGTTTTTTGCCGTAAATCGACGTTTTCTCAAAAACAGCTGGACCGATTTCAAAAATATGAATGCCATTCGATGTATCTCGTTAAGGACTAGCGTTTATCAACTTTGCGCGACGATCATCCAAGCTGTTTTTCTTTGTAAATCTCAGAAAAGTGAACAAAATTTCGTCCACGTTTCAGCTCGCAATTCTGAATCGATTTTGAAAATTCAAAAACTGTTCGAAAGATATTGGTTGGGAATCGTTCTGATTAGTTTTTGGTAAAGATCGGCCGAGCCGTTTTCTTGTAATAAAGTTTTTTTTTTTAAAAATCGACGATTTTGATGATTTTTTTTGACGGTGGATATCATAGTCTTCTAGATCATACTAAAATATTACGGCCCTGCGACAACTCGTTTAGCTTTAAAAAATCGTCAAAGTTTGCGAAAATTGGTATCGTTTTTTGGCATTTGTCAAAATTAGACTTTTCATCGACGTTTGCTCAAAAACGCCTGAACCGATTTCAGATATTTAAAAGTCATTCGATGTATCTCAATGAGCACTATAGTTTGTCAGTGTTGTGAGACGATTTGCCGAGGCGTTTCTTTGTAATTTGAAAAAGAGTGTTAAACTTTTCGTCCACATTTAAGCTCATTCTACCGAATCGATTTTAAAAAATCAAAAACTATTCGAAGGATATTAGTTGGGAATGATACTGTTATAGAGAATGAATCTTAAAATTCATTTCTGCTCTTGGAATACGTTTGTATGTAAGTGTATTTGAACAATATATCGAACAAGAAAAGAAACTAAACTGTGTCAATTGAAGATTGTACTTTTATTATATTTATCCTATCGACAACTCACTTCTGTTCTAATTGAAAATATGAAACGCGAGCCACCGGATCGTTTGCAAATACTGTTTGCGAGTCGCTACGTGCTTCTTCATAAATATGTCTACTTACTATTCGCTAGAGTGCAATGTAAATACGTAGCAGTGTGACATAAGTGTGCTCTTGAATGTATTGTCGTATTTTTATACAATAAATGTACAAGTATTAGTAAATATATTTTATATGATATATATTGAGATATATTCAAGATAGCTTGCTTTATTACATGGAAAGCACGTTCTTTGACATCACCGGGTTTGGAACTCCCCATTCGCATTTTTTGCGATATTAAACTGTGCTTATCATGAATGTGGGACCAAAAATTGTTTTTGTAAATGATGCTAACCTGTAACAATATTACATAACAATGCATTGCATTCTCAAATGTTTATTTTAGTTTAATTAAATTATATTTTTATTTGCAGCAATGTCCGATATGAAGAGTTTCAAGAAATGCCGAAGCATGGCTATGATCGGATGGATGGTGGCAGCGGTAGACAGGCATGTTAATTTTTTTTATATTTTTTAATATTCCATGAATTTTAATAATTAGATAGTTAAGAATTAATAGAACCTTTGTTAATTTGTTAACTAAATTAATACAAGCGTCCCTAAATATTATTACATATAAATTATAAATTATAATTTCTCCTAGATATAGGAGTAAAGTAATTTAAATTAATAACTCTAAAGTAATTTATAAACGGATACAGGATTTTATAATATTAAATTAAATTAAACTGTTCAAACATAACATATATAATAAGGAAAATTGATAATTATGACTTCATTTTGAGGATCTTTAAACTTTTGAGTCCTGTATTTCAATTAATGGGTATCGTTTCTCTGTAAATTAAAAATCTTTTTTGTAAAATAAAGCAGTTTCGAAGATCAAGCAACTATTGTATCACTACACACTTATATTTAGCCAAAAAAGATAATAAAACGTAACAAGTAGTAAAAAACCCTTATTTATAGAGAAGATAGTAACAAAGTATTGGTTGAAGTCAAAATTTAAATATTCAGAGACATCAAAAAGCTATAGACATTTAATTATTTTTATCATAAGTAACAAGGTGTTGGTTGAAGTCGAAATTTACATATTCAGATACATCATAAGAGCTATTGATTTTAATAATTTTATTAGAACACTGTAAAATTTATGATTATTAAAAGGGTGATATAAAGTCAGAATTTACGTTACTTGGTATATTTTTAAATTATGGAGTTCTGTATCTCAATTGATGCAGATCGTTTTTAAAAAAAAAATTGATATCTTTTCTGGAATACATAGCTGTATTAAAGACAAAAACATGTTGTACAGTTTAGATAATTATCCAAGATAGCTAAAATTAGCTATGTTAGTGAAACGTAGTAAAAAATCCTAAATTTTAATGGGATAGTAACAAAGTATTGCTTGAATTCAAAAATTGAATCTTTAGAAATATCATATTTCTAACTCTTATTAATTTTATCATAGTACTGTAAAATTTATAATTATTTAGAAGACTTGGTTAAAAGATTAGTAAATTAAGTAGTTAAATACAAATCAATCGATTGAATTAAAACAAGTTGTAAGCATGGCTGGTAATTTCGTAAACTTGTTTCTTGCAGCGTAGTGCCAAGCACTAAAAATTATTTTTATAAATAATCGTGTAATAATAAGTTTGAAGTGGTAAGAATATTATACTGTTTAAAAATATTTATACAACTTGTCAGTGTTAGGATAAAACATGATCCTTAACATGATCGTTATACTTGCAACTATATGTCAGATAAGTATGATTATTATTATGAAACACTAATCAACTATCTATTTCTATTACCAGGCAGCCGACATGGACTTCGGCTGGGCCGGCGATGCGGCTGAACGCCTGGATGCCGGATCGCCGGAATCCTTCGAGGAGATCGAGCGACCTCCGCTCCGGCATATCGACAAATACGTGCGAGCGGAGTGCCCCTGTCTTAGCCAGCGATACACCGTGGCGGTCATGACCTGCCTAGGGTTTATGATAAGTTTCGGAATTAAGTGCAATCTTGGAATGGCTAAATTGAGACTGGAAGCTCTGATGCATAACAGGGTAAGTGATAATTTATAGACATCGATTGGTAATATTGAATTTAATTACTGTTATTTATGTCTAATGTAATTGTTTGAAATTCTATAGTTCATTATGGTGGTATATAGCAAATTGCTAATTGTAAGATAAAATTTTAAGAACTGCTGTAGAGAACCCTTGCAATCTTTATTGTAGAAAGTAATAGTTACACTGAACACTCTTTATATGGAAGGTCCGATTCGAAGGACCGTTTTAAGGACTAATTACTTCTTTTGATTTTTATTGACTTTAAAAATGTATTTGAAATTTATTAGTTCGGTTTATAATGGTGTTTACTTGTAAAATAGCTATTGGTTAAGATTGAGGAATCGACGTTGTACGTTAACAGAATAAGAAATTTCTTATAATAACTTAGTATGTACGGTTGTAAATTTATTCTATTGATGCTGGTAGAAAAGGTTAGATCATAATATTTGTGAAGCAGGCGCGAATAACGATATCATTTTCTTTAACAACTTATATATAACATCAAATTTATAATCATATAGTAAGAGTTCTGATTGCTGTTGTAACAATAATTAAAAAAATATATAATCATGATAACTTTAATTTAAATAAATATGATTATTATATTTAAAATTTAATCTTTTAGTCATATTTATTATAATTGATTATATAATTTGTTGCAAGCTATAAAATATCTAAACATTCCTAAACTCTTATATTAAGTTGAAAAAAAACAACTGCCTTATGTATATGTATATTAGGGTGGTCCTTAAAATGGTCATTTTTGAATTTCCTTGCTCCCAGGGGCTCAAATGGTTCCAAAGAGATAAAAAACAATTCTCTGAAAGTTTTAGCTCTTAATATTAACGTTTAGATAGAGCGCAATTCAATCAAAGTTTTGTATGGAAATAGCATGGAAAAATTTTGAATAAAACTCATTTATTTCTCGCTAAGTTATACCTATAACATTTTTTTTAAATGTTCTTTCCATACAAATCAATTGATTGAATTGCGCTCTACCTAAAAGACAATATCAAGAGCTAAAATTTTCAGAGAATTGTTTTTTATCAATTTGGAACCATTTGAGCCCCTGGGAGCAAGGAAATTCGAAAATGACCATTTAAAGGACCACCCTAATGTATATATACATTTATATATGAGTAGATAATCTAGACAATATATCAAATGATACAACGCAGTTGTAAATGCGTCGACTAATGGAAATATTGAGTAATTTCATAACATAAATTACGCTGCAATCATGATTTTTAGAAAGGAGTTACATACATGACAATGCCTTCCAACATTAAGGTAATGCTTTTCACGTAGCTTTCATTCAACGTAAAAAACTACACTGAATGAAACATAAATATATTTTTAGCCTATTTTGAAGGTTTTTGCCTATATATAAAGGTTTACATATAAAGCTTATACTAGGTATAAAAACAAATTTAAATTTAAATTTACTAAATTCAACAGTATATTTTTAGTTAATAATATTTTAAAATAGCAATAAACACTATATAATAAAAAGTTAAAATTATAACAATGATGATAATATTTATAAGAATACTAATAATTAATATAATGATAAAAATAAAACTTATGATGAATTACTTCCGATCACTATCCACTCCAGAACGCGACAGTGTTAAAAGCAGAGTTATATATAATATATATATATATATATATATATATATATGATATTCAGTTTTCAGGGCAATACATCAATTAAAAAAAAATTATTTTTTCCATACGTTTCGACACATAGTTTTGTGTCATCTTCACATATTTCAACATCAAAATTATACAAAAATTTAATATATATATATATATATTATATATATTAAATATTAAATATTATTATATTGTTTTTTATTGATGTTATGCCCGATTATTAGACTTTGTTAATATATATATATATATATATATATATATATATATATATATATATAACTATTCAAATATCTGTTTCCCTTTATCACCTTGAATCTTGCAGTTAAATAGAGCAATAGGAAACATAAAATTAGCCTATTCATACTTCAATATTTACTACATTACAAAGTCTTCGGTGATAAAAAGGGCTCCAAGGGCTTCGAAACGGAGGGTCCCTGGACTCAGGTTTCATATCTGAGTATATTTTCGCATCTTTTGTCAAAAAGCAAAAGCCCTAACGGAGCGTTATTATTCAACAATGTCGTCTCGTTTTGAAGCGGAGTCGGCGCTAATGGAGTTGCATTGTTGTGACCCCTTAACTTCGATCGACCCTCGACGAAGGCAAAGATTCCTTCCTCGTCAAACAGTTTTCCCTACATCCAAACGACGCATTCCATTCCACTTAGGTTTTTCTTTTTTTCACATCGCATCTCGAAGATGAAGAATCAGGCTTCTTCCTGTTTGAACGTCTCTGCTCTAGAGAGGTCGTATCGATTGATACCGTTGATGTTTTCAAGTGGCCAAGATGAACTTTTATTAAAAGGGAATTGTTTAATTTGAATGTGATATGCAGATATTTACACAGAAAGCAAAATGATTGCAGATACTACAACAACAAATAGAATGTAATAGAAGTAGTAGAATAAAAATTTTAGTCAATAATCAAGGAATAGAAATTATATCATTAATGACTTAATTACGACCCTTATTGCATAATTTCTGCAATTCTCATCAAATTTGAAATTTAAAAATTCTTTAAAAAATGTTTGCTCTAAATCTAAAATCCTTTTCCCTTCCCAATCAGTTATGATTCCAATTTAAAAATAATTTTATTTTGAGCCAATAAACTTATGCGTATAAAACGTTTGCATAATAATTGTATTAATAATGGTAAAAGCTCAAACACAAAAGCCCCAGAACTCGAAATTCATTACGCATATGCTTGATGCGCATTTGCATATTCGGCCGGTCCGCATCGGAGCGTGCGATGCGTTCGTTGTGATTTTATGGCGCGTGATGGACCCGAATTTCCTGCACAGTTTTTGAGGAAATGTTTTTATATTTTGGCATTTGTTGAATTGAAGTTTGATTTTGTGTAGTCATTTGGATAGCAAAAAAGTAAATCCACATTTTGTTCTTATATTAATTAATCATTCTTCATGCACTCGTTGCATATGTGTCACTTTTAATGTTAACCATTATTAGTCTAATAAGGGTACTAATTAATAATCCAAAAATGATAATGCGCTTTTCACTATTTTGAATCTAATTTATAATTAAACACGGCCCGAATTTTTATTTTGCAAACAATTGCTGTTATTGACAACAGTCACAACTACGTATTTTGCTTTTGTTTGATGTCGTAAATTTTTTCTAAGTATTTTCCATGACAATGTAGGATGATTATGAACAGATATGTATATCTGATAGTGTTAGCATATATATATATATATATATATATATATATATATATATATATATATATATATATATGGGTGTGTGTAGGTATGTATGTATGTATAGATAATAAGTTGCAGCAATGCCCCCTAAAGGCAAGTTTTACTTGAGATTAATTATTGATATATATAATCTCAAGTTGAAATTTATTATCGTACTGCTTGATATCAATCTGGCCAAGGTTGGAACATTGAAAATTGAAATATCTTAATTCTTACGTAGTATCCAAGAAGAACTGTTCACAGCAATGTAATGCAGTAGTTAAAATGGTTACTTTTGATAAAAAACATAAATTTCGTATTATTATAATCGTAAAGTCTGTAATAATGATAATATATTAAAGCCTTGTAACTTCATTATTTTTGTTATATGTGGTTAATAAATAGTCAAAAACACAGTTCACTTGTACATCAAAGTACTGTGAAAGTAAGATAGTTCATAATATGCAAATAATTCTAAATAGTTTGATTTCATTTTTTTGCTAACTCTATTTCAAAGTTCCTTATAGCAAAGCTTAAGGACAAATTTATTTAAACTTCAAAGTAGGAGTTGTAATTTACCTATTTTGATCCAATCGATTAATTAACACTGCCAAATCGATTTGAAAAGAAGTAATAGATTATATACTACTCTATGTCACTGATTGCCATCTTATCAAATAAATGAGTTATCAACTATATTATTATTAAGAACCATTTTAAGGTTTATTATTTGTAATTAATAGCTGTGACTTACTTTATTAAAGATGATTATTTTATTATTTTAATGTGAGGATCATATCGATTATATTAAGGTGACCATAATTTTTTAAGTCAAAACTGGGATGGCTATTTTTAGTAATGAGAAGGGGTAGGTCTGGCTTTAAAATAACAAATGGTATTTAAGGATACACTAAAATATCTGTTTTAATCGGAATTGCGGACTTTTAATATAATATTTAATTAAATATAATATATTTTATCTATGTTTTACTTCTGTATTTCTCGCTTTTGAGCCTTGTATAAAACTATACTCAATTTTCTTAATAATTAATTTAAAAAAAATAGCTGGCTTGTTTATGTTTATAATTTTTGTTAATTTATCTATTATTTTCAATAAACCTGGATAATCCGCAACAAAAAAAATTAAATCCGGGACAAAGACTGCTTTTAGATAAACCCGAAACACTGGTGGAAATGCGGGACTGTCCCGGCCAAACCCGGACGTATCACATTAATTATATACAATAATTCCTCAATACTATTATTTTATATGTCTCTATCTAAATGTTTTTTATTATTTCAAATGTCTCAATTTTCTCTTACAGACGGAGTCATCACACGGTATAATTTTCAACTGGACAGTAGGCATGGAGAGCGCCGTCGATTCCTCGTTCTTCTGGGGTTTTTCTTTACGCAAATTCCGGGCGGATTTTGGCTTCTATGTATCCCGCCAACCGGATATTTGGAACAGCCATCGTCGGAACATCCTTTCTGAATCTGTTGATGCCCGGAGCGATGGATCTACATCCTACGGTCGTTATCATAGTTAGGATCATGCAGGGACTAGTCGAGGTAAATTATATGTATATATATTTATATTATATATATATATATATATATATTTTATATATATATATATATATATATATATATATATAATCTTCCACGTGCTTCAATAATTTCCTGATAATGATTTCTAGTGTGCTCCATAAATTCCTGTTCCTTATGAGCGATGTTATCAAAACCTTACGGTCTTGATGTATGTCGTACAATATCTTATTTTGCGGATGATGCCCATAATCGCATATGGGAGTCGTAATGCTCGAATCAAAAGCAATGACAATACAGAATATGATTCTCCTGCCGTTAAATCCTTCGCTCAGATCCTTCCGCCCGGCTGATCCTTTTCATTGAACAGACATGAACAGCAGCGGCAAAATCCCGCCGACGCGCGATTATCATTTCTTTTATATACACGTGATACATGTATAACAACAACGCACGATATGCTCACATCAAAATAACGGATTTGGATTTATTATTGATGCGTAAATCTTATAAATTAGCCACTAGATGATAAAATGAAATAGCCAGAATTTAAGGAATTCGTGAAATAGCTGGAACTTTCCTTTAAAATTTTTGAACGCCTTAATTTTTTTTTTAATCTTGAAATATTGGGCTTTTTTACCCCGTATCTTTAAATCGGAGCTGCCCCTGTCGGAACTAATCAGCACGTCTCCCCATCAATAGCAATATAATGTTTTTTTAATCAGAACGGTTGGCCCGTGCTCTCAAAATTGTATCCGCACATACACACAAACATGCTACATACACACATACACAATATTTTCTGTTGTTTCTTCAACGTAAAAAATTATATATCATTTTTTACTAAATAGCTTTGAAAAATATTATAGTTTTTATATCTATTTAGGTCTATTTAATATTTAATTTTTTTGTTTTAGGGTGTTTATCCAAAGTTGCGTATTTGAACACTTTTTTGGTTTAAAATCAATAGGATTGGTGATTCTTGAATAATTCAAATCTGGTGACCCGTGCTCTAGAATTTTTGGACAAAAAAATGTATCCAAACATACACACAAACTTACCACATACACACACATTTCTCGTGGGTTCTTCACCGTATAAAATTATATATCATTTACAGAGTCTATAAATTACCTTCAGATAATAATATATATGTTGAATATTTTCTTTTAGTGTGCTTATCCCAAGTTGCGTATTTGAGCACATTTCTCGTTAAAATTTTTGTAAAAATAATTTCATTTGAATCCAAAACAAATATTGCTTCTTGAAAAATCCATTAAGTGGAAATCTAGAATGATTACTTTAGGTTAATAGGTATAATGCACGCTGTATCACACTTTTTTCATATAAATTACAATCTCTCTATAAAGAAAAACATTGAGTAATTAATTTGATAAATAAAATTAAATTCTAAAAGGAAACCTCAGTGGTTCACCTTTTACTAATGTACTAAATTAGGTCGAAATTTAGTTTTGGTATTAAAAAGACAAAAAAAGAATCTTTATTATATACTAACAATTATAAACACATTATATTACACAGACTATACATACACACATACATATAGAACAATATATTATTGACTAAAGTGAAAGTAAAAACCTATCAAATGTAAGGTGACCATACGTCCCGGATTTTCCGGGACAGTCCCGATTTTCCGCCTTGCGTCCCGATTTTTTCTAAAAGCAATATTTTGTCCCGGATTGTCCCGGATTTTTAAAAATAGTTTGATTGCTATTTTTTAAATGTATTTCAACTAGAAAATTTAAACCGAAAAAATGTACATATAAGTTTTTAGCTCACCAACACCCCCTCCGCTCGCACACACATTCTGGTCTGTCCCGGATTTCATGCAAAAAAATATGGTCACCTTAATTAAATGCGTTATTTCTTATAGTATACATGGTGTTGTAAAGACTCGCTATCAGTTCCTTTGAACATTATATCACAAAAATATTAATAACTAAATTTAAAAAAAATATTATTTAAAAGTGGAGGATATTTGTGTTTGTGTTAAATTCTAGAATTAGAATTCTATAATTTTGATATTTTTGATTGTATGACAAATATGTTATTTTGATTTAATAAATTTATTTTCATTTTTTATTTAAATATGAGTAAGTATATCTACCTTTATTTCAATTACATCCTAGGGTGTAACATACCCGGCTTGCCACGGTATCTGGCGATTCTGGGCCCCGCCTCTGGAGCGCTCACGTTTGGCTACAATTGCGTTCTGCGGCTCCTACGCCGGCGTAGTCGTCGGAATGCCGCTATCAGGTATACTAGCCGGCAAAATAGGTTGGCAGGCCCCATTCTACTTCTATGGTGTCTTCGGGCTTATATGGTGAGCTATGTAATGCATTGTGAATGGTAGAAATTTTAATATATGTAACACAGATATTGCTATCAAAAGATGTTATTTTTGTAAACTTCATAACTTTAGATTATTTCATAATATGATGAAATATAATATTATATATCTGTCATCCCAAGTGTTCAATTTAATTTTCACTATTTTTCAAAGCTTGATTTCAAAGTTCTATTACTCGTGTAATATCGCGTATTTGAAATTATTGGTTTAAATTTTATATAAAGTGCTTCATTAACTTTTGTTCCTAACCATATGACTATTTTCAGAGAAAAAGTTAATACCGCGATTTAAAACAGTTTTGCCAAAATTCGACTTAACCAGTTATTCACTGGGATGGCAGATATAAATGAAAAATAAACATAGTAGATTTCTTATTAAATCATTTAATTTTAATAAACTTAGGAATAGTAATCGATATTCGAAGAAATGAATAAATAGTTTGTTTTATTTTTCATTCAGAGCAAAATCATACCAGTAAATTCCCGTTAAGACGATTTTCAGAATGGAGTTTCGGAACAGTTTAGAGACAATATGTTACAATGTGCAGGCATCGAATTATTCAAAAAGTCATATTAAGCCTGACAGTCGTAACTAGTTTTTACTATAGCTCAGTACTATATATTTTCCTCTAAATTCATATACGACATAAACCTGTCCCAGAGATTTTTCTTACCCCTGACCTTCTACAATACATTTTATGGAATCATTGGATTCATTTGCGAAGTTTGCGAAGTTTGACACTATTCTCACGATTCTAATTTGACGTCATATCCTCTCCTCGCTTACTCTCCTCGTAGTAATATCTAAATTATCACATGCGACCGTTTTTCTGATAGAGGGTGGAAACGTCTTATTTTAATATATTTTTCTGAAATAAAACGTGTTTTTCTCATAAAAGTTGTATCTTGTCTTCATTATGCCAGAGTTGTGAAAAATATTATATGTCATCACTTTTATAACCCTTAATTGACAGTTGAAGTTTGAAAAGGGACGTGATGTATCATTTTGCTTACTTGAGATAAAATGTGATACAGTGGAAAAATTTATTGTAGTGAATAATTTAGGCTCGTCATTAAGATGACGAAACCTATGACCTCAATTTTACATAATATATTATATTCTTTGTTGTAATTAAAATATATGCTAATTGAACAAATATTTGATAAATAATGCTGTATATATGAAAATATGTACTCTGATGATAAACCAGAGGATAGAAAAGAAGTTATTTACCATATATTACAATGCTTTCAATAAATACTGTGTAACTTTTTTAGGTTTGTGTTTTGGTTATGGTTAACATTTGAAAAACCACGTAACCATCCTGTGATATCAATAAAGGAGCTAAAATACATAGAACAAAGTCTCGGAGAATCGACTCAAATAGCCATGCCGACAATCAGCACGACTCCTTGGAGGAAGTTTGCGACTTCTATGCCAGTCTACGCATTATTGTGGCGAACTTTTGTAGATCCTGGAATTTTTATCTACTAGTTATTTTCCAATCGGCCTATTTGCAGAACACATTTGATTTCAAAATCGAAGAGGTAAAAGAAACAAGAAAAATATATACTGAAAAATATATACTTTATAATTTATAAAATTGCAGACTGGTCTTGTTGGATCATTGCCTCATTTACTGATGGCTACTATAGTTCCATTTGGTGGTTTATTGGCTGATTATCTGCGGAAATCCGGGCTGATGACAACAACAACCGTTCGTAAAGTCTTCAACTGCGGCGGATTTGGTATGGAAGGAATATTCTTCCTTGTCGTAGCCCATGCAAAAACAGCTGTAAGCATACCATATTTCTAAGACTTTGAATTCCTAATCTTTTTTATTGATAAATTATGTTCTTTATTTAGATGGCTGCTACAACTGCACTAACATTTGGAGTGGCATTTAGTGGATTTGCTATATCTGGCTATAATGTAAATCACTTGGATATTGCGCCAAGATACGCCAGTATTCTGATGGGTTTGTCCAATGGAATCGGAACTATAGCTGGCCTGATATGTCCCATAGCTGTAGACCATATAACTAGAGCAGGGTTAATTATAAAATTCAATTAATCTTAGACAAAAATCCTTTGGTAGCTATATGCCAAAATTGTGTTTGATGAAAGCAGGCACCAATAAAAAGCTTTTAATCTTCTATAAATGTTTTTAATAAAGTGTAGATTTTTCCTTTTTCTTATTCATTATTTTTTTCTTATAGGGTAAAGAAAGTTGGAAAACAGTGTTCATTTTGGCAGCTACGATACATTTCATAGGCATCACTTTCTATGGACTTTTCGCTTCAGGAGAGTTGCAAGAATGGGCTGAACCGACTGCTGAGGAACAACAGTCGTGGAATCCTTCTGTTATTGTTCACAAGCAAATTGTGATGCACAGGGAAACATCATTTGTAAGAAAATATAAGATTTACCTACTACTACAACTAATTAGTATATTAATAGTTATAGGTGGTATTAAGTATTCACTTTTTCGATATCCGATGAGGGCATGAACTTTGGCATCATACAAAACTAATCAAAATTGGCTTAGAAATTTTGGATTTTTGGTGGACAATATATAGACATTGTAGAGCACTTCATAGAGAAGTGGTTCGGTTGATCAACGCTCATGACCAATAAATTGAAGACTTTATCGAATTTATTGACTGATAGTTTCCAAACTAATCGCATGATTATCAACACATTTTTCGAATAGTTTTATAATTTTCAAAATTTCTACTCATTCTAAATATTCCGATTCGGTTCAGCCATTTTTGAGTAAATGTCAAATTTTGGCATAAAACGATTTATGATTCACTATGTTAAAATTTATATGTAATTTTTGTTTTTTATCTCAGGGTCTCCTGTGGATCCAAATTCCAAGCTAAACATCGGTGCCGGTCCTGGTTACGGAGCAGTAGAACCCATTCACCCCACGAACCCATTTGCCTACGCAAATCCTGTCACTGAAGAACACGTGCAGCCTGAAGCCACTGATTCCTATATGCACGGCGGTGACGACCTCGGAAAATATCAATAAAAAAATGATTATTGTTGTTGAAAATCGCAGGTTAGATTATATATATATATTTCTGTTTATGTATGTTAAAAATAAAATAGCTAGTAAGCTTTTGAGATATATGAAGCGCTGATTATTTAGAAAAGTCGTCAAATCGAGGATTACTTTAAATACCCTTCTATTAAAAAATATTGCTGAAGTTAAATTAATCGATTTGTTATAAATTTTGTTGAAAAGCTTGGTTTATTTTTTGAACGTAAATAAATATATAGCTTTTATTTATGAGAAAAAAAATTAAAATTAATATTTTTGTCAATAATAATCTATTTAATATAATTATAAAAATCTATCTGATGTTAAGCCCGGATATTAAAGTAACGTAACAGCTCATATTTGATTAATAAAAAAATAATTTTGAAGAAAAGAAAAGTATATGTATATTCAAATAGTAAAGACAAAACAATTATATACTTATGGCTTAGCTTGGCCTGCATTAATTGTTTAAATTGGTTTGTAGTTACATATTTCATTTAAAATTACCTTTATTGAAATTATTCCAGCAAAAAATCATTTATTTATTAATTAATTAATTTATTTATTAATCATTAATTCATTTATTAATCATTAATTTTAAATTTATATATTATATTTATAATCAGTTTTTTAATTTAGTTACTAAATAAAATTCAATATAAATTGCGACAACTAATACCTAATTTTTAATACAATAAACAAAGTCCTTTAAATTTGATTTAATTTTATATCAGAAATAATAATTAAATATATGGCAATTTTTTATGAACTTTCTATATAAAATATAATCGTAATTTTAATAACTGTTCAAATTATAGATCTTTAGGTATTGTTCCAGCATTCGTTAAATAAATGCACAGTGTTAAATAATATAGTATTAATAAAACTACTTGGCAATATATTGTTCAAAAATATTTAATACTAAAATGTCAATTTATTATAAATTCAATATAAAATATAGGTAGAGTATAATTATATATCGTAGTAAAGTTTCAAATTTTTAATAAATTTTGCAATTATTTTAAAATAGCTGATATAATCATTTTTAATTGTGATAGTAAATAATTGTAAATATGTAAATTAAATATTTGGAAATGGAGATTTTGAGAGGCGGTATTTAATTTGATTTTTGTGTAATAAAAATTTATTTTAAAATTTTAAACATTTTTTAACAAACAAATTTATACAACCGTTACAAACGAACGTTATAAATTATATCTTTGTTAACATTTAAATGATTTTATATAAATTAAGATTTATTACATTTGTTTATTAAATAAATATATAAAGGAACTCTCACGATAAATGAAAAACTGGAATTAATATTTATAATTTTATATAATATTTAATTATTCAAATTTATACTAAAAATTTTAGAATCCACAACGTTATAATAATTTAATAAATATCGCATGCTTACGGTTTTTTATATTCAATATATGCTCAATTAATAGTATTCTGTATATATATATATATATATATATATATATATATATATACATATATATACATATATATACACATATATATATATATATATATGTATGTATATATACATATGCATATGTGTATATAAAATGTATATAAATTTAATAAATGTGTGTGTGCTTATGAATATTTTGCGCCTGAGTGTGTGTATGAATTTGATTGTAATTATTTCAAATAAGAAACTTTTTTGAAAAGTTTCACTTAGATTCAAGTTAAAATTGGCAAACAATAAGTCAAAATTTTAAAATTATAAAAGCCATTTTAAGCTTTTATAAGTTGCTTTGCTTCAATTTTTTTAAAATTCTTTCCCCTATTTAATATGTTGAATAAAATTACTTGGGTACTAATTTGTTAAGTACTTACAAGTTATTGTTTAATAATTATGTATGTTAATTTTCTTCAATTAATTTTGGGAAGGATGTTTAAACTTTATCTAAAATATCGTCAATTTATAACATGTAGCTTCAATTCACAAACATTTTACATCGTTACTGAATAAATCAATATTTAAAGAAATAATGTTTTGAAAAAGTAAGCAATATTAAAATTATATTGATGCTTTTTTTAATCAGAAACAATTTTATGCATATATTGGTATGAATAATGCAAATCTTGAAATGTATTAGTAAGTGAAATAAATCGGTGTCATTCAGGATAGATGAACCTATTACAGATTTTTCTAATATATGCCTAAAATTATTTTGAATACTTAACTAATTTTAACGTTACATATTTAATTACCTTTCGATTACTGAGTGTGGATATGGATTAAAAATAATATCTGTGTTAATTTTGTTATTATAATTTATAAATGAGTTGTATTGTTTTTGAGGTGTTCTCACTCTCAGTGGCTGTGTCGACAATAATAAAAAATTGCTCATGCTTGCATGTGCAATTTTCATTCGATAATAAATCGATTTTAGGATAAATAATAATAGTTATAAATATTGTAAATATATAATATATTGTTTGATTTTTTCTGGTAACAGAAAGTAAATATATAAATAAGAATTTAGAGTGCAGCTTGAATCAACTTTGGACTAAATGTTGATTAATTTTAAATTAGAAATAATAATTTTGTGTAGGTATATAGGATCTTGTAAAAGTATTAGGGGTGAATACGTTTTTGAATATATATATTGATCGTATAATAAATTCCGTTTATTTGTCATATCGCGTTTATGTATACGAACTAGTTTATTGCACATTTTAATAACTTTTAAGACTAATCTTTATGTAATATTTGTTAATGTTGTTAATTATGAGTGTTAATGTTGTAATGGATATCGATGGAAAAATAATTTTTTGTATAAAGCAAATATTATAGTGAAGAAATTAGTACACTTTTGCCGCTTGTATGGTCATTTAAAAGCACATTGCACATTAATGCACATTGATTTTTTTTGTGAAATATTACTAAATTTATTTATTTCTATTTTATAGTATCCATGCACATAATCGCACGCACTTTCTCTTGCACAATGAAAAAAAAAAATTAAGATTATTTAATGCACTTATTCTTTCATTTAAAAATTTGTGTTTTTTGGTGTTCTATTAGATAATTGGTATTTCATCAATTTGTTCAATAAATATGCCTATAATGTATTACAAACTTTTAAATAATATCTATTATTATCATAAAATATCTTAATTAAAACCTTGACTACTGGTAACATATATTTATAATTGCATATATAAAAAATATTTAATTAACATACTCTTTGTATTTTATGCACAAGTTAATTTTAAAAAATATGTTTAACATTTTTTTACAAAAATAAAAATTAAAAATTTGTCACTTAGAATAATTATAAAAAAAAATTCAAACGTTTCACTTGAAATTAAATTTGCACTTTGACCTATTTCTTGATGTTTTGGCGACTTTAACAAACTAGATATATATTAATGTTATTATATGAATGATTGTTATTTGCACTACTGAATTTCTTGTCTTTGTTGTTAATATTGCAATAATTTTATTGCAAAATTTATTGTTAAATCAATCAAGATGTCAAATCATTAGCATATCAGTGCTGTCTTGCAAAATAGACAGCACACCGCTAAAATTAAATAAACGTCTTAATATAATTATAATTGTTTGTATACGTTTGAAAAATATGAAATATAATTTAATTATGAACCCAAAGTTGATTTCAAGTTTACTTATTAGAAGGAAAATTCAATTCAAATGCCGTAGTCCGCGGCCATGTAAATATAATTTTATTTATATTGACTACGACATTTGAAATTTTAAATACTGATTATAGAAATATTAAATTATATTTATTGATAGGAAAAAATAATATCTGCAAAAACGATTAAATATGCAAATATGTATAATATAGCAGATGATCAATAATTATGTTAATAATAAATAAGGGAAATTTATAGCTAAATGATTTTAATAAGTATGAATGTAATAGATTATGAATGAACGAAATGAAAAATTGTTATTAAAATTTGATGGAATATATTGCGAGATATAATAATTATAAACAAAAAAGTTTTTTCTAAATATGTCTATTCGTTTAGTTCATTTTTTTTTTAAAAATTTTTTATAAATATACAAGTTAATTCATTGCGTATAGTTTTTCTAATTTTTTTAAAATTGTTTCTGTGTTTTTTTCTACTGAAGTAAAATCAAACGTGCGAAAAGACAAAAAAAAAACATTTTACCAAAATTTTGTTATAACAAAAACTTTTTTCTTATAATTATTTATACATAAGTGTGTATGTTTATAAATATTTTTGTGTGAATGTATGTTGCGAGTGGGTATTTGTGTATATACGTCTGCACATTATAACTAATTAATTAAAATTATAAGTATAATTAAATGTTCATAAATATTTATTAATTTCAAACCTTCATTTCAATTTAGTACATATATAATTTAGATTTTCTAATTGTTGACAAAATTTAAATTTTTGCTTGAGTTATTATTTATACAAATAAGTATTATATCAACATTGTACAAAAACAATCAAATGAAAATAAGTAATAGATACTGATACATTTTGATTTTACATTAAAAAAAATCTACTCACTTTTTATAATATTATACAAATATTAGGTCTGGTTTTTAATAATTCTTCGATTTCATTAATGATGTAATTGATTTTGGCCATAAGATATATATAATATTTATATTTTTATTGATTTGCTCAATAAGCAATTATTAATTTTTTTAGTTTCATGTATCAAAATCTAATTTTTCCCATAAATACTGTTTTTTGGAGAAAATCCATGTTATTTAATGTCAGTAGGTTGCAAACGGTTTTAAAGATTTCAAAATAAAACACATGAAACGGCTTAGCTAATTATAAAATATTGCATCTGTATACTCATTATAAAATACATTATTATATTATTTATATTAATTTAATCTGATGATTAGAGTATTGGGAATAAATTCTTTCGAACTAATCCGAATACAGCGGCACTAATCTAAGAGAAACTTGAACTCAAATATTATAATTATGATGTTTTATTTAGCAATAAT